TGAATTTTCGTAATCAGATTTTGACTTGTTTTGTTTGTTAACTGCTGTTTTAACGCCGCAGTTCGCGTTGCGAATGTTTCACAAGAATGCTGGGTTGTGAACAAAACTTTCGCCCCAGGCGGGACTAGAACCCGCACCTCTCGCTTTCCGGGCAAGTGCGCTACCAGTTACGCTACCGGGGCACCATTTCATTCCAAACTCAGCTTCCATTCACTCTCAAGTTTGTATATTCGCTGTATTGAAAACCTAGACTGACTAAACATAAAGTTTACACTTTTCTGATCGGTCATTTCTTACTAGATTGCCGGTGCGCATTTGTTTCAATGTTCCTCGAACTGACAACAAAGGTGATCGCTTCGGAAACCTTCCCATGGAAGACAAAGCATGAAGTACGACCAAGATTGCTATGGTTTTTGTATGAGTATTAAAGGTACAACTCAGGCAGGAGTCGTGCGAACGATTCCCTTCCGCCTGTGGGATAGAGCTCGAGAGGGCAATCACAGATGTGGCACTCCCGTGCATGGAAATCACTCGAAAAGGGCGCTGGGGCTTGCAAAGTAAGCTGCAGCCAGCTGCACTTCGACATCCGCAGCAGGCTGTTGTCTGGCGCCCTCTCACCTGTTGTGCTCTCTCGCCTCATACTCTCCTCTCTGCGCCAGTCTCTCGTTGCCTTAGCACAGCCGCATTACGGAAGGTATGTAAGCCCTTAAATCAAGTGTTTTCGATAGATTCTTCTTCTTTTTCTTCACTGCTGGCCCATTTCGCACCAATACATTCGTATTCGTGCACAAAAACCATACCAATTCGATCCTGGGCATGCCTTTAAGGAACAAAACTAGCTTTGTAGAGTGGAATCCATTAACGATAGATGAGCTATAGCTCTGGCTAATTTATGTTCTATGTGGCTGCTTAGTCATCTTCTGTTTTTCTAGGTTTCTGCTTGCATGGCGATTAAATGATTTCCGGAGAGCGTTTATCGCATCCCTATCTAATTATAGCCTGAAAAGCAGAGTAGAGCGCCCTGATGTTTGGTTTACTCTTGAATTAAACGTTTACTCTCTCGCCCAGACGTAAACCCCTATAGCGGTGGTGAATTCTTGGCAATTCCTGGTTACTCTCGTAGAGCATAAGCGGTGAATAGAACGCCATCTGCTTCCGGAGGTCATTCCGAAATCGAGAAAGAGCTTAATGCCGTCGAAATTCGGGTAGAAGTCGACCACTAGGCTCATCTCTCAGAATTCATTATTGTCGATGACTTCACTTGAAATCCTCCATGAAGCTCCACTGTTGCTGCCTCAGAATTCGCAGTATCAGAAGTTAGAGTGAAGCGCATTTTCGACTCTCGAGTCCTTATATTGTGTAAGTGGCGCCAGTGTCACCATATGGATTATATTATCTCCGAAAAAATTCATGTTGGTATTTGAATGATGCTGCTTTATAAGGAAGGTTATCTTCTCGGTTGGACATGTACACATTCATGGAAAAAGAATGGAAAAGGGTGTTGTCTCTAGCTGGTAAAATTTAAATCGTTCGCTCAAATAGTGTCGGCAATGAAACGAGGATGCTCTCGCTATCATGTGGTGGGTGGTGCTTCGAGACTAATATAAGACAGCTGAGGTGAAGTATTGAAGGTGTCACTCCCATCATCAAACCTATGACGTATCGATTAAAATCTGGCTAGCCCCTCATCGATCGACTAATCTGACGGTCCATGTCCATCCAGCTGAAAGTCTAGCGCAGTTTCTCGACGTTTTTACACTATCGTCGACACACATTAGAGGGGTTGGGAGAAAAGTCGGGCTGTTGTAAGTGAGATTGCGAAGAGATTGTCCACGGCAGCACTGTATGAACAGGCCGGAAAAGCACTGGGGTTGAGGCTATGGAGAAATTTTTCCGAATTATGTGAGCAAGTCGAAAGTAGTGCTCATATGCTTGTAATTGTGCTCGCAGCTTTATGAATTTGTATTTCCACGTAATAGCTCTCATTGAAGCGCGGTAAAAGCTGATGGGGGGCGCTAAATGTTTTTATGAAAATTATTTGTTGTTAAATCAAAGTGGTGTGTGCACATAGCGCCAGTTACTTCGCGCCGGTCCTGGATTTAAATTCTGCGTCGTACGTCGTCCCGAGTCAGCCAGTTTTCCAATCCCTGGGTCGTTGGTTATACCAGGCTCCCCTGAGTAACAAGAACACTTACTTATACCTCCGGCTGCCTCCCGCAGATAATTGGTACGGGCCGAGCCGCATCAAAGCACCCACTCTGGAAATGTGTGGCCCCTTCTAGGAAGGGATCAATTGCGCTGAGTGTTCCATCCTTCGAGCTATTCTGCTTTCTCCATTGGTTTCACTAGTATGTCAGAGGAAGCAGCGTAGAATGAAATAGACAAGTGGAAGCGAAATGTATGGAAATCATGATGGAAGAGAAACTTTCAGTCCGTCTCATATCTAGAGAAACACTGGTTTCTATGGACATTATACGAAGTTATACGAAGATTTCAATGAGGTCGGCAATAATGTGATATAAGGTGGTCCATGCTTGTTTTGTCTCGTTGTCGAAGTCGTCGTTGCATTCTTTCACTACAGCAAGTACTGGTTCCAACATTTCTGTAAAAAATCCACCTTTTAACTGCGATTACCATCTACAATAATTTTATTTGCCTTGGTGATGGAATGGTGGCTACGACTGAAGCTTCGAGGCAGATTTTGTCAATTTGATTCATCTGAACAACGAGTTTCCGGATAGCTACTGGAACAAAGAAGTACTTATGTTCCTGTCAGCCATTTTTCTCATAAATGTACTTGGAACAAGGATCTTATGCAAAGTTTAGGTTAGGGGACAGGTGGCAAGGGCTTTTGAAAAGAAATGGTTTACGATTGGCGGTGCAAACAATCTTTCTAAAGATTCACCACGATGTGGACCCGATGCACGTTCCATTTGATGTGCGCCTTTGCGATTCGGTTCATCTGGATGGCGAGATCGTTCTCTCGATTCATAGAGTTGATAATTGCACCCAGTCCACACATGTAAACTGAAGCGTGCCGTCTGAAACTTACAAAGCCTTGCTAATGCTAAATTAATAATGCTAATTGCTAGTTAATTTAAATATTAATTAAATTTGAAGAGACTAAAATTTAAAATTTAAATTTAAAAGACGAACTGCTTCCATTTTTTTGTTTTTATTCACGGGTCAATCGTAACAGTGAGAAGTCATGGGTAACTGGACTCGGCATGGCAAAAAATAAATAAAAAATACTTTGGTTAGGCCAGAGGGCTAGACAAAAACTCCCAGGGGAATCAGCACCGTTCTGGCAATGTTTTTCTTGCAATCATTTGTGTTACTTGTGAAAAATTCTTGTGAATTTCATGGCATACCGAAAGGTGGTGCCGGGTGCTGGGTAGCGTCAAGGACCTAGCCCCAACACGCTTCGTCCGCAAATTCTTCTATTTTCTAGGCTCACTGAATTGGTTTCAGATGCACTGTGAAGCGCTGTGGGTTGCTGCGAATGCAGCGGCGCGCTTGCAGGACAATGCAGCGTTGGCCTGGGTCTGAGAATTTTACAGCAGTAACCAAAATTTATGTGTTGCTTATTATCAAAACCATTTACCTGAGCTCGATAGCGTTCATCAAGGAAGAGTCTGGTATTTCTCGAAACTGGGGCCATATTTGTTTGTAATGGGGATCCTCAGCGAAGAGCCTGGAAAGGAGTTGTAAAAAGGTTAGGAGAAATAGATCCGCAGTGATCAACCGGGTACTATAAACTCACATAAGGAGTATTTTGAGGCCATTCTTCACAAGGTTCTTCTCCACTTCTGCGAACGTCCTAATGAGTATCGCTCGTTGTCTTTCTGTGAGCTTGTTTATTTGTTGACGAGTTTTTCTTGCTGAAAACTTTATTTTTGTATGTCTTCGATAATTTTAGATACAAAATAACTGACTTGTTTCATCGCTTTCTCCTTCGATTTTTTCCTTTTTCAAAACGGGTTCCGTCAATTGATGGTTCAATAACGATGGTTTGGCTCTTCCTTCGGGTTCTATATTTAGCACAGTGCACTTTGATATGCGATTAATTTTGCTGCTGACTACTTCGTGTACATGCAGCAGGAGCTCTCGCAGGTACATGCGGTTTTTGCAGCTTAATCTTAGGATATGTAAATTCTCTGGAAAATTCGGTTCAAGCAATCGATACATTCATTTCAAAATGGAGCGAATGGTTTAAGATATTTGACGATCAAAATGGTTGAATTATAGCAGGGTGGCAATAGTGAAGGGACGTGAAGCTAAATAGTAGAAAGTGAATAGAGCCAAAGGAAGGAAAAAGTTCTCCCAATCTGGTCAGTTTCACAAGTGTCGTAGCCAGAGTAGATGTGTAGGTGCTACATTTTCACATGAAATGCTCAGGGCTTATGAAGTGCTGTGTATCGAATACATGAAGGTGGTGTAGTTACATGTGATGCACTATCACGATAGGGGCATAGACGCTAATGGTTTGGACTGATTTCCGTCAGGCACAGCTGATTTTATGATTAGGTATCTAGATTTTTTCTGTGGAGGCAAAAACGTGATTTATTATGGACTGCTTCAATTTTGGGTGTTACGAATGTTTCGAGTGCACAAGAGGAAAGTTTGAAAGGTGGACCTACCAAGTTTGCTGTCATGAAGAAGTCACTATTATGGGCAAATTGCGACAGTGAATTTGTCGCTGTGGGCGGAAGTCGTTTGCTATGGCATATCCTGAGGAAGGCTTCGTCGTGCTTTGTTTTGCATGGTGCAGTGTCCAGTATAACTGGTGCGAGGTTTCACCGAATTCTTCATTGAGGAAGCGATTACGATAAGGAATTTTCGCATCGGGGAGAGCCTGCGCCACACGGAGCAATTACTTGGCTCGCAAGGAAGCGATGTGTGGCGCTTCCACGGCGAAAGGTGCAGTGGTTGCTGAGAGGACCTCCGCAGCACTCCGCCTTCAGCAGCGTCACGCCCACTTGTCCAGATGATGACTTGGGCGAGCTGTCTGTGTGGCCTTTTCAGTGTTTGAGAGATGATTCCATTTCTAGCGCGCTGTATATTCCAACGTTGCCAATGTTATACATTATCACAAAACCACTGCTTCGTTGGCATTGATGGCGGCTATCGGGGTTAACCCTTTGACGACAATGGCACCCACCGGTGGGTGCCACTATGTTCGTCGCGTGGGACAATGGCACCCAATGGTGGGTGCCACCTTAAAATTTCCTTCTTTGTGCATTTAAAACATTTGTAACACCCCAATAATTATAAGCAAGTTCCATAATATCTATGGCTAGCACGACTTACAGAAATGTTTACTAAGAGCTAGCTAATTTATATAGAATTTTAGAATGTGCCATTTAGCTCGCCACCATATTAATTGGGATTTTAAATTATCAGGCAAAGATTTAATTACCAATTAGGACTTTTTAGTCTTCTCATAGCGTTCAGATATGGGAAGGCATTTGAAGTGTACCGGGAATTCTCTTGGACACTAGAACTTTTGAAAGTTTTTGCCCTCCTTTCCTCAGAAACGCGAGTCCCCGTCCAAATTTGGAATGCCGCTCAAAAATAATTCCCAGTATGAGAGCTCAGACTGCAGTTATAACAGTATAACTGTAGACAAAATTGGCGTCGGAATTCACAGAAAATTTTCTTATAGGGCAATTTTTGCCGAATTTTGAGCGAAGCAGATAGTGGTGCGTCGCAAAGACAGGCAGTGGTCCCACGAGCAAGGCTGACGCGCAAATGTCCGGTATTGTTCGTTCGATCGGGTTAACACGTCCGAACAACGTCGTTCTTTACCGTCGCTCATCGGGGTCGAAAATGAAAGGGCAATCAAAGGGGTACTATTTTGCTTATTTTTGACGGATTTCTTTGCTTTTTTCGCCATTGGCGTACTATTGAGACCCCCACGTCCCCTCTAAACCCCTTTGAGATCTATCGTAATCGCTTCCTTTAAGTGAACACTAATGGTGACTGCGGTAGCTCATCATGGTCTTATAGCTAAGTATCAATCGATGCGGAATGTACCCCAAACTTATTAGGACTTATTAGGACGAGATTCAAAGAATTTGATTAGCGCCATCAAAAATGCCCTTGCTTGCCGATTTCGTCATAATGCTAATGTAGTGTGTTTAGTGATTCGCGTTCGGCGAAGAGTCATATGTTACAAGATTCTACGCTATTTCTGAGACGCAGTTCAGGCGCTGTGTCCCAAAGTTGAACGATGTGAACTGGTACCGTACTTGTCGCTATTGCTCTAAAAGTACAAAAGCGCAGCAAGTCGTGCACCTACTCCTTTCTGAAACAGAATCGAAATGCGATACTGTGGTCTCTGGACGATTCCGGTCATTTGGATACCGATTGCTTCTATTCCAGTTATTCTCTTTGGATGCTTTTTCGGACGGAATCGCTTCCTGAGCTTTAATATTGGGCTGTCCGGAAAGTTTCCGCCGTTTTTATAGCTCACTTTTGAATGCTTTATTTCTGGGTCACTTTCGAGAAACTGCTAACACTTTATATATCGTTAGAAAGCGCGTTCCTCGCTCTATCCAAATCTACTGTTTTTTCAACCTGAATCACTTTTCCACTTTTTTGAAGTCTTGAATACAACATACTCAACAGCCTGCTTTGCACTAGTTTCTCTCAAACTTGCTCGGAAATGTGCGGAAGCAAGTTGCGATATCAACTGAGCATTTGGTTCTAACAGGGAGGTCTTTCAGGGCAAGCCGCGCTTTTTGGAAACGGTTTCTTGCATAGGAGCGCATGTATGGACCACAAAACCATGTTTCGTTTTCGCTGAACGGTTTTAGTAGTACCAAAAAAGTGGTGAATGATACCCTTGATGGTTCGATCCCGCGGCGAATAAATTTTGCAATCAAAGAATATCACATTTGATTTTGACATTTAGCGCGATTTGATACCAACCCCTAGGCGCC